TCTTTTATCCGGATCCCTCATCATCCGGAAGAAAATCGTTGGTTACCGATTTACAGCATATGCCATGCATACATCCAGTATGTGTGTTCGATTATCCGGTTCCCTCGCCTATCCGGATTTTTTTCTGGAAAACGGATGTGTGCGGTTATGCGAGGTCTGACTGTATAACAATAGCATATGCAAGCTGCTAAAATGGTAAAGTGTGAGAACTCCGACAGGGAGCGAAACAGCTGTCTAGAGGCGTAGAACAATAATTATCTCTCAACGGAAGTGTCCTTGCTGGTGCATGGTGTCTATAATGGTTCGGCTGAAGAGCGCGTGGTTGTGATGAGTTGGGAATGCAATAAATCATAGATACTACTGTCTTATTATCATGTGCACTGCGCATAGTAGTAATATATCTACTTATGCAGATTGAGTACTTAAAGTAAAAGTAAAGTAAATTATCGTATCCGTTCCCGAAGGGAACTCACGACGGCCGCTAACACCCGATAAACCCTAGCGGCAGATGCAGCGCCTAACGGTGAGTACTTATGTAGAACTAATATTATCACACTGCACACGCTCTTGTTATGGCTCCCCCCCCCCCCAACCTACTGGTGCTGGCTGGATGCTTGTCTGTCCCCGGGGAAAATTGCGGAAAAAATCGCAAAAAACACGGGGAAAAACGCGGCATAATATGGCATAATTTGCGGTAAATGTGCGGTAAATATGCGGTGAATAATATTGATGTGCGGCAATTTTCAGTGAGTATGTAGTGAAATCAATCAGTTACAAGTCTCTGGTGTAAGCACTCGTCATATTTGAGTAAACAGCCGCCACGATGAGACGTTGCTGACCGAACAGTGCACTGTGTACGTGTAGTGCTACAAAAAAGTTCAAAAAACGCGGGAAAATCGCGGAAAACGCGGTCTTTTAAAAATCGCAAAAAACGCGGGGGAAAAAACGCGGCCGCGGAATCGCAATTTTCCCCGGGGACAGGCTTGTGGGATCAGGACACAGCAATTATGGTCATGTATATTGATTGTCTATTCTAACGAAATTGTGAAACTGACAAGGAACAAAGCAAGAACTGAGTAGGAAGTGAGCAGCAACTGAGCAGCAACTGAGAAGAGTTCGTTGCCAGTAAAAAGTTAACGACAACTGAAATTCTCTATTCATCTTGAAAACATACTATTTGCAAGCTCGAACTCCTTATCTATGAAGCTATTATAAAGAGCAGTTGCTTGTATTGAACACAGCTAACGATAATGACCCTATATAATTATAAGCATTTAATACTCACAGAGAAAATAGGACACAAAATTTATTTAAAAAATAGATTTCCGTGGGCTCAAGTGCATCGCAGAATATATTTCACCAGCCTACAGCAGGGCCAGTGTAAAACTATTAAAACTCAACTCCAGAAATACATCTTCACGCACCTTGGCCAAGGGCTCCTAAACTTCTATTGTACTAATGCCGAACTAGAGATGCATACTGCATGTAACAGAATACACCCCGCCGGGCCTATGCAGGGGATCCCTGTAAATAGTAACGGCTGAAGTCTCTGAACGGTTAGGTACACTTTAAGTACTAGTACATGTAGCCTGCCTATAGCGTAATGAAGAAGCGAGGATCGGACTCGGAATATATCTGGTGGCTGGCACTAACAGACCAACGGCCAAGCTTTTTACCGGACAGCTCCTTGAAGCAAGATCATTCAAGTAGGTGCGAAATCGAATGCAGAGCCCAGTCAGGAATGCAAGTTAATCACCGCGAACATGACAAATGCGCGCCATCCAACAGCCATCATCATCAGCCGGCTTGGTCCCACAGGCAATATGCACTAGAGGCGTGCACCCGCTCCGTGTGGCAGTCGGTTATGTACACGCTGTCCAGCATGTTTGAGAATACCGCCTACACACAGTGACAGACCATGCAGGCATAGGGAATCAAGTCATGCACACACACACACACACACACACACACACACACACACACACACACACACACACACACACACACACACACACACACACACACACACACACACACACACACACACACACACACACACACACACACACACACACACACACACACACACACACACACACACACACACACACACACACACACACACACACACACACACACACACACACACACACACACACACACACACACACACACACACACACACACACACACACACACACACACACACACACACACACACACACACACACACACACACACACACACACACACACACACACACACACACACACACACACACACACACACACACACACACACACACACACACACACACACACACACACACACACACACACACACACACACACACACACACACACACACACACACACACACACACACACACACACACACACACACACACACACACACACACACACACACACACACACACATACACACACACACACACACACACACACACACACACATAACAAGTTACACCAGTAACGCGCATACACACCCGGGTCCATTTTATGGAACACCCTGACATCCGACGTGCGTCGTATTACCCAGTACCACCAGTTCAAACAAGCCTGCCTCCCGTTCTGTCTTGCTAGCAGTAGCACCCACTACTGAACACTACAGGAATCTTTGAACGTTTGCGGTACTCCACAGTACCAGTCATGTGCTGTTTACCGCCTCCCCGTTGTTGTATTCTAACGTTAACGTTATTCATTGACTGAGCGTTCTTTGCTTTGTACTACACCCTGCTATCATGTTAGGCTATTTCCTACAATATTAACTGTTTCCATTCGCTTCCATGTAATTGGGCGACACCGCCCGTTTGGTTCTGCGAATTCAAATAAAAATGTACCTACCTACACACACACGCACGTGCACCATGAAGCTCTCTCTCTATCTATCTATCTCCCTCCCTCCCCCCCCCCCCTCTCTCTCCCTCTCCCTCTCCCTCTCCCTCTCTCTCTCTCAGTTAGTGCAAAGATTTCTTTCCCTAGCTGTGTTGCACTTACCACCCTAAGACCAGATATAGTTCTGTACTCTACGAGTCGTAGGATTGTATTCTGGATGGAGTTGACAGTTTGTGCTGAGGACAGATTCAGTGTCAGTAACTCGCGGAAGGACAGGCGGTATGCGGATCTGGCCGATCAATGCCGAGCAAACGGGTGGCAGGTCGTTTCTTTTTCGGTTGAGGTAGGTGTGCGTGGTTTCATCCCGGACTCTCTTCGGAGGGCTCTGAAAGCGCTTGGGTTTTCTAATCGAAGAATAACATTTATTTGTAATTTGTGCAGTAAGACGTCTCTGCGAAGCAGCTACATCATCTGGTTGCGACGTCAACAAAAACACTGGTCGGAAGATCCACTTTTCTGAGGTACTGTATGTGGGGCTCCGTTTAGTGAGGTGCGTTGAAATTTATTCTCTTTAGGGGCCGTCCGTAAATATCGAACTTTTTTCACCAAACGAATTATTTTAGTTTAGACCCAACCCCTCCCTCCCTCCCCCTCAGAACGTAAAAAATGTTGAGATATACATGCGTATACAACAAAAGTCGCAAGTGTGTCACTGCTCCTACGGCCATGTACATGTATCGAAGTTTTCTGAAACGAAATTGGTCAACCCCCTCCCACCCCATAACGAAATTATTTCGTTTCGTGAAAAAAGTTCGATAATTGTGGACGACCCCTTATCTTATTATTTCTTTTCTATAATTTCCCCATATGAGTTCCTATCAGTTGCTGTGAACACCTTGAGTGGAGAGCGCTTGCTCGAGCGTTGAACCGGGTTCTTAATCCACCATACCCAGTTCGCAAGGCTGGGCGGGGTTGTGAGCAGGCTTTCATTTCATCTTTTCTTATTATTTCTGCTTTTCATCTCATTACAAAAATTCTGCGCTTTTTCTCCATCTGCGCATACAATCTAGACTGACAACCTGCTTGTTAAATCATGCACCTGCTTTCAGGCGTAAAAACCCTGTTGTAGAGGTCTCAGTCCTCATTTGTTAGACTTACCTGTCTTTATAAATGTAACTTACTCTCTCTCTCTCTCTCCCTCTCTCTCTCTCTCTCTCTCTCTCTCTCTCTCTCTCTCTCTCTCTCTCTCTCTCTCTCCTCTCTCTCTCTCTCTCTCTCTCTCTCTCCGGCTCTCTCTCTCTCTCTCTCTCTCTCTCTCTCTCTCGCTCTCTCTCTCTCTCTCTCTCTCTCTCTCTCTCTCTCTCTCTCTCTCTCTCTCTCTCTCTCTCTCTCTCTCTCTCTCTCTCTCTCTCTCTATCTATCTATCTGTATTTCACTACACACACTTCTCTGTTTGCCTTTTCCTTCTTCCTTTCTACTCTTTGTCTTATGTCTTTAGATGTCTTGCCTATTCATACTGAGGGCAGCATTTCAATGGGTGGGTGAACGGGGTTGGGTGGGTGAGCGGGGTGGAGATAGTGTTGCAAGGTCGTCGGTAACCATGATTTCCACATTCTGCAGTCAAAGTGGTTATGCAGTAAGGCACCTTACCTCGGTCCGTGTATTTTCTCTGTCATGTTTGTAAACTCACATGTGCGCGTGCTTGCAGACACAGAGTTCTGCCACTAGGCACTAGGTACTGGGTATGCACGGCAATGTACAGTTGTGGCAAGTGAAATCCGACACTTGGCATAAGGGACTGCACCATGCAGTCTGCAGCCCCTGCAGCCCTGCATACGTACAGTACATGTGTTACATACAACTTTATCTGTCTGATGACAAAACTCGTACTCATCACAGTCAAGGTTCAAAAGGTGATGGCAAAAATGAATGGGGATTGTATACCAATACTCCTTATGTGCACCATGTTTGTGAACTGTGTGTATCTACCCTGTGACCTTTCGATCTGTTTGGGATGCATACGGCTCTATAGTACAAATTAGGTGCAGTGCATTACATCATTGATGTCCATTTGTGGCGCTGTCCCCTATGGCAAGTGTTGGATTTCACTTGCCACAACTGTACATGGACATACCAGGCCAGCCGGAAGAGGTCCGGTTGGTCAGGTTACTGCCGGACCAACTTTGTACCTACCAACGCATATTTACTGCTGAGGAGGGCCTACCCCCCCCCCCCCCCCACACACACCCCGCCATACTATGCAGAAAGTATGAAAGAGTATGGTACGGCCGGACCAATTGAAAACTGCAGTTCCGGCGGTCCTGCATACAGAGTTCTGGCAGTACAATGCAGGTACCTGTACTGGTTGTGCTGCATGGCAACTACTTACCTAACATATTGAGCACTCTGATCAAGGTTTGCTGTTGACCAGTTACAATGCAGATGTTGTCCGACTCGGCATCCCTGAAACACCATCAGCAACACCACCACCACCACCACCAACAACAACAACACCAAAAACCGCCGTGACAGAAACAACAATGTCAATGGTAAAATGAACAGCATTGTCAGCCATGGAGATAACAGCAACAATAATTATTGATTGTTGTGCAATCATGAAAAGAACAAATCAAAGAAGAGCAGGAGCTGGGGAGGATTTACGTCCGTTCCAAACTCGGGAAACAAGCCGGCATCTTTATGCATTGCTCTCCCCCCCCCCCCCTCCCCCTGCACTGCATGCCATGGATAAGAGTTGAGGGAAGCATCACCACTCTGTACTGTGCGTGAAACACACAACATGTACGTTCTGCAGTTGCGACCAAAAGAAATCCGACCTGTGAGATGGAAGCCGCGCCAAGGCCTATGCGGCCACTGCGGACCTCAGATAGGGTTTCGGAACGTGTATGATGTAATTGAAATGGAAATGTGGCGCTGCTTTTGACTCGTGGGTCGGATTTCTTTGTCCACAAGTTCCACAACCTTTCTTCGCTACTCTCTGCATTCAGTCATGCTCAGTATAATGTTGAAGTTGGAATTGACCAAAAAATCATCCCAGCTCTCCATAATCACTGAGCAAGTTTCTCATGAAAAGCGAGCATGACAATATTATCGGGGCTGAAAGCTGATTTCAGTCAGCTTTACCTTGCGTTGAATCCTTTTTCAATTTTTAGCAAAGTAGATACTCATTCAGTTTGACCAACCTTCTGCGGCTATTTGCTAAATCAGTAGATATCTATGAATGATCTAATGGGGTTACACACCGTTTCAATAGACGACAGTGGACCAGTGACTGTAACGCAGCTTTCAGTATCTCCGTGCCAATGCACCGGTAGAAAGTCAGTTGCCCTGCGCATTCATACACACATCCGCACGTGCACACAACATAATACACACACGTACATACACACGTGCACACGTGCACACACACGCACGCACACACACACACACACACACACACACACACACACACACACACATACACACACGTGCACACGCACGCACACCCGCAGACACACAGTGTCATGTGAGCACAGAGGCCGCTGAAATGAGCCTGATCGAGGGATAGTGAAGGTGCCCACAGTCACACTCATGCACTTACATGCCTGCTTGGATGACTGCAGAGATATAGCACACCGCACACAGCACTCACATCTGAGCAGGTACGATCAGTGAGTGCATACGGGGACCTGTAGGTAATCTAACTTTGTCTGGAAAATCCAATTTGTCTGGAAAATCCAATTTGTCTGGATATCCAATTTTGTCTGGATAATCCAATTTAGTTTGGATAATCCCATCTGTACAGTTATTTTTTAAAGTTTATTCCAAGCCATTGCAGGAGCAATCTCTCAATCCGCCTCTGGAAACTCCATGTCCACACCTATAATGTTTGAGGGTTTGATGATGATGATATGCAATGTGTTTTGCGTCACCCTTGTGTGTGTGCGTGTGTGTGTGTGTGTGTGTGTGTGTAATCAATGATGCTAGTGACGCTTAGATCAGATCCACTCTGATTTAGCCACCCACACTAGTAGCAAGTATTACCTTCACTGGGGGCAGGGGTAACTGCAGTTGGATCCCAGGACGGATACCCTGATGCCGTCAATCCTTTTTCTGCACCTTGTCCTCACCCACTTACTGAGGTGTGGTGAGCCCATAAGTGGGATCATTTTCAAGTCCACCCAGAGTTTTGGGGATTTCAGGGGGTGTCGGCCGTTGGGCGGTTCAATAGCCAGTTGAGTCATCTTTCCAAGATTCCTTTTGAGTCTCTCTCCCCTCTCCCGGGGAGACCCACGTGACCAGTTTTGGCAGTGAGCAACAAGTAAGTACAAGTGTGTGTGTGTGTGTGTGTGTGTGTGTGTGTGTGTGTGTGTGTGTACGTGCGTGCGAGTGTGCGTGTGTGTGAAAGCCACCAAGCTAGCCCCAACCAAGAGTGTTCGTCTGTGTCTGCGGCTGCGACTTTCGCCGTCCGAATGACTCATCCCGACACAAGAACTACTGCCTTGCCTTATAGCTATCATCGCCTTCGGCGATGGGCTTTCCAAAGGTCCAAAGGTGTGTGCGAGAGAGAGAGAGTGTGTGTGTGTGCATGTGCGTGTGTGTGTGTTGAAAATGAGCAATGTGCTCAGTTTTTCAATCTGACCTTGTG